CCACCCTATCTATGTGACACACACGTATTAAACCCACTTATTCGGTCTGCGGACACCTATTAACCCCCCTCTAGTAACGGCTACTGGCCCGGAGTGAAGTACTCACACACCCTCAGACTGGCCTGCACCCCCCTGGCCGACCCCTCGCCACAGGTACATATGTATATATACATATATATACATATGTACATATATAAACATACATATATACATCTATACACACATATGTATGGTTAGTGTGTGGAGTTACATAAACGGGCCGTCTTTTTGTCAGACCTACCCAAAGTCTGGTATTTCCACCTTACATATACAACTGGTCTATTTCTCTAAAACCCACTTTTTGGTTTATCGAAACTGGGTCCTAGGCCGACTGGCGCAACAGAGATATCGAGCGCATCGTGTCAGAAAAAGGCCTTTTTATGATAAAAATCATCCCTTTTTACAACCTCACGGCGCCGCTGTGGGACGCGCACCCCAGCGGGCACCTGAAGGACTGCACGCACTTCTGCTGGTGAGCCCACTGCACACCCATGCACCCCAAACCTGCACCCCAAACCTGCACCCCAAACCTGCACCCCACTTCTGACCCCTCTAACGACTAAACGAACCCCACTCCCCCACACTCCCTCACCCCCGCACCCCCCCACTCCCCCACTCCACCACTCCGCAAAATCTCCAAACGTACACGTAAATACCAATAAAACCCTCCAAATGTATACGTTAATACCAATAAAACCCTCCAAACCCCCCAGGACGCCCATGCTCTACCAGTCTGTCTTCCATCGAATGGACCAGGGCATGGGCGAGGTGTGGAACAAAAACCCTCAAAACCCGTAAGACCCTCTCCTGGCATAGACCCCCCCCCCTAAAAACCCTCCCTTGGCATAGAAAAAAACCCTAAAAACCCTTAAACCCCTAAAAACCCTCCCCTGGCATAGAAAAAATCCCCTAAAAACCATACAACCCCTAAAAACCCTCCCCTAGCATAGAACAAAAACCTTAAAAACCCTCCCCTGGCATAGATCCCTCTACACAGTGAGCTGGGGCGGGAATACACTGTATGCGTGGATGTGGGAGGTTAGGGGCGCGTGTGTTGTGTACATTGTATTGAGGCCCAAAGAGGCATTTACACTGTATTGGCTAGTGCTCTTGGGTTAATTGTGCTAACAAGAGCATATAAAATCGCAAAGCAGCGCCAAACACGCACGGTGTGTCGCTGAGGTATGTTGCTCAGAGACCGGTCATGCGTATTTTACTAAGAATGTATAAGCGAAACAGAACATACGCCAAACAGAACGTACGGTAATCCCTAATGGGATTAAGAAATTAACGTACGTTTCATTGTGTTTTTAAAATATTTTTAAAGGGTTAAAATCTGTATCAATATTTCACTCATTTAGGCGCTTTTGGCAGTAAACAAACTGCATCCTCACTTCTCTTGGCCAACCCTCCCTGGAATTGAACAATCCT